GCAATCAAAAACGGTGACAAACACTGGGATAAGATTTGAAGTGCACTCAGTGCCCTATGTGGCACTATGTGTTTCATTATGGCACACCTTGAAATAACGCTTTCCATCCAGCCCACGAATGAAAATTATCAGGAAAAGTCCTCGCAATGCGACAACACTGGGACAAAATTCTGTTTCTACAGAAGTACTCGTTTCTTTGTAATAGCCCCATCCTTGAAGGTATCTTTGAAGGTTGAACGTAGGATATCCCAATCAATAACTCATCCAAAGTGCTCACCTATTTAAGAAAGAAAACGGGTAATTTATCAGTCTAACATTCTTTTCTATTCTTTAAGAGTAAGCACAACGCCATTCAGCTCCTCTGGCATAGTTTTTAAATCTCATCCTTATGTGCTTGCAAAGAACCTTCCAGAATTAGAGATTATTCAATTTACGAGTGTGAAGTCACATATTTTTCCATCACCATAAAAATATAATAGAAAGTGTAATTTTCAGAAAATTACACTTTGAATAATCAAGCTGTCGTATCTCCTAATTTCCTAAATTCCTTAACTCTGTTATACTTTGCCTCTACAATTCAGAAATATTATTATATCATTTTGAGTATAAAATGTAATTCGACAGAAATTCATTTTGTTTCGAGAGAACCTGGCCAAACATAATAGATGGTGTAGTTTAAGTTCGGTGATATTGACTTATTATGGTAATCAGGCCCCCATCATATATTGCTAATAAAAAGAAAGCAACAAATTATTTCACAATTATGATTATATCAGAAAACGGCATTGAAACCATTTGCAAACAATAATCTTCCAGAGAGGTTGGAAACCATGATGGCTCAATGTCAGACATCTTACAGGAAGCAAGAGAATATCGAGTGATATTGACAAGTGAGGAATTGTGCAGCATTCAAGAAACAATCCCAGAAAAAGAGTTCGTGAACTCGATGACTAATTTGCGCTACTACTTGAAGAAGATATTCTTACTTCTGCAACATACTTCTGTCGATATCTCCTTCAGCAGCTACTCACACCCACTTTTTACTTCAAACTGAACGGTATAAGACGCTTTTTTATCACAACACATTGCAAAACAAATTCTTCTTGAAAACTGTGGATGAGTTGCTTCGAAAAGCCATGCTACTTCGAGAAAGTTGTGCATACGTCTTAACTGAATCTAGAGGCAGCTACAATTAGAATTACGTTCTAAAATGAGTGAAAAAGGTTCGAAGTCTAGCTATTTCCACATTCTTGAATAAGATTTGAAATAGATATCATTTTCCTTGTCAATCTTTTGAGTAATCTGATTTAGCTTAGTAGTCCTCACGTGTTGGGAATATGAAATAATAGACCAAACGATAATTGGGGAAATCAGCGTGTAGAAAGGTATGATCTGAAAGTATAAATAATGCTGTTTTAG